TTCGCGAAGGTGTATCACGCGCGGTATCTGCAGAGCGGAAAAGAATGTGGCGATGAAGATTGTGGGGAAAGAGAAGGTGATAAAAGTAGGAATGATGGAGCAAATCAAGAGAGAGATTTCGGTGATGAAGATGGTGAAACATCCAAATATCGTCGAACTCCACGAGGTGATGGCAAGCAAGTCCAAGATCTATTTCGCAATGGAGCTCGTTCGCGGCGGCGAACTGTTCGCTAAGGTAGCCAAGGGTCGGTTGCGGGAGGACATGGCGCGTGTGTACTTCCAACAGTTGATTTCCGCCATCGATTTCTGCCATAGCCGAGGCGTATATCACCGTGACCTCAAACCTGAGAACCTACTCCTCGACGAGGATGGCAACCTGAAGGTCACCGATTTTGGTCTCAGCGCCTTCTCCGAGCACCTCAAGCAGGACGGCCTGCTCCACACGACGTGCGGGACGCCGGCGTACGTTGCGCCTGAGGTGATCGGAAAGAAAGGCTACGACGGTTCCAAAGCCGATCTCTGGTCTTGCGGGGTAATTCTCTACGTCCTCCTGGCCGGTTTCCTGCCGTTCCAGGATGACAACTTGGTGGCCATGTACAGGAAGATATACAAGGGAGATTTCAAGTGTCCGCCGTGGTTTTCCTCCGAGGCAAGAAGATTGATAACGAAGCTTCTGGATCCCAACCCCAATACCCGAATCCCCATCAACAAGGTGATGGAGTCCTCCTGGTTCAGAAAACCGGTACCAAAAACATTGAGAAGTAAGGGACAAATTCAAATGGAGGCAATGGACGGAGAAGATGGAGACGAGGCAAGCGCTGACAACACTTCCAAACCGAAGCAGCAGCCCGAGACGCTGAATGCATTTCACATCATAGCCTTGTCAGAGGGCTTCGACCTGTCACCGCTTTTCGAGGAGAAAAAGAGGGAAGAAAAAGGAGAGTTGAGATTCGCGACAACGAAGCCGGCGAGTAGCGTGATCTCGAGGTTGGAGGAAGTGGCGGCAAAGGTGGGCAAGTTCAGCGTGAAGAAGAGCGAAGGCAGAGTTAGGTTACAGGGACAAGAGTGCGGGAGAAAAGGGAAGCTGTCAATCGCCGCCGAGATATCAGCCGTGACGCCGTCGTTCCTAGTGGTAGAGGTGAAGAAGGACCACGGTGACACCTTGGAGTACAACCAGTTCTGCAGCAAAGAACTCCGGCCGGCTCTCAAGGACATTGTCTGGACCTCTACCCCTGCCTGAAAAATTTAACAAAACCCTCCTCTGTGTTTTGATAAGAACCGGGCATTTAGTGTTTTTAGTTCATCGTCTTCGTTGTAATTGTCATTTTTATTCAAGTTCATTGCTAGACAGAAATTTGAAAAAGAGACTGTGTTGTGTTCCAGTCTTTTTCATTTGAAATGCTCTGTGTCAATTATGCGTGGTTCTGCGTCACAGGTGGATCAATGACCCTGTGAATCGCTTTTGATTGATTCCCTTTTCCTGCTCCATCGTGTTCCGTGGTATTCTGTGGATATTCCATGTGTGGGTTTGCAAAATAATTTGAGTTTTCGATTAGTAATTTCTCCTACTCTTTTTTCAGATTCTATTTATATCTATCATTTAAATAAGAAGTCATATCATTCATGTAAATGATTTTTTGATTCAATTATTGACTACCCAATTGACTCTTCTTACATCCAAGAATACTGTTCATTA